TGTGTGTCTGTCTGTCTGTCTGTCTGTCTGTCTGTCTGTCTGTCTGTCTGTCTGTCTGTCTGTCTGTCTGTCTGTCTGTCTGTCTGTCTGTCTGTCTGTCTGTGAGAGAGAGAGAGAGAGAGAGAGAGTGTGTGTGTGTGTATGTGTGTGCGTGATTGCTGTTCATGGGGCTTTCGGGCTTATTAATTAGACCTCATGGGCTTCAGCTTTCGGAGGTGTGGAGCACTTCGTCGTGACGTGCGACGCGAGCTCGCAGAAAAGCTCCACCTGGAGCTCGTTCTGAGCTTGGAGCGACTCTTGGATCCCAGTTTCAGGTATCCCCATCGTCTCCCTAACATCGGAGGCCCATACCCTGGAAATAGAACCCTAAACTCCCCAACTCTAGCCTCCGAACAACACTCCTATCATCCACGCTGGCCCTACCTCGAGAGGGCGACTGCAAGCTTGGTTGTGATTTGGGCTTCGGGCGCACGTCTTTAGAGTCTTCCCAAGCGATAAGCCATGACCAGAATGTGGAAGGCAACCAGATACTCCAAGTATGAACCTCCGAACCTCCCAATCATACGGCAAACCCTAAAACCCAAGATGGGACTTCGGAGCTGGAATCCTCACTGTTGGACAGAGCCACGGGATCCCCCATGACCAATTTAGTCTGGATCTCCGTCGCACCTGGCACACGCTTTTCCAAGATCTGATATGTACAGATACACATACATGATCGCGGATCCCCCCCCCCGTGGTATCCCCCCCCTAAGCCCTGTAAACGCTAACCTCAAACCCTAAACCTTTAAACGCGGGGCTGGGGGCGGGGCCGGGGGCGGGGCGGGGCCGGGGGCGTGCCCATATCGTTTTTGGCACCCCACCCCCCTCCAGGTATCCACGTTAACGTTGTTTGATTATTCTTCCCTTTGTTGTTGTTTGGTCCGTCGCCACATTGTTCCTTACCCCATGTTTTGGTGCATACTATACATATGTTGTCATGTTCTCCATACTATCTTCAGTTACCTGGGCCCGTACAAATCGGTACAAGATATACCGGTGCGTGCTTCCCAAAACCCAAGATCCATGATCCAAGATCCAAGATCGAAGATCCAAGATCGAAGATCCAAGATGGCCGCGGGGTCTTCCAGGAGAATCTTGGAAACACGAGCCTAGCTCGTCTTTCCTAGATTCGTCCAGAACACCCTGCAATCTTGGATTTTGGGCCTTGGAAACATACAAACCATCTGAGGCAAGACTACAGAGGGTTACATGTCCAATTCTAGATAGTGTCACGTCATGCTAATTGAACACTCAATCACCAACTGCTTGCTTGAGCAGATAAACAGTGGGAGAGGATTCATAACTTGGGGGTTCATGAACCCATGCTAATACTTCGTTAACTTGATTTCGCCTCGGCTTCCTGCCGAGAAGCGTCTGGAACAAGCAGACCCGGATCGGGCCTCCTTCCCCCTAACCCAACCCTTCCCCCCATGCCAAATTTTTTGACGCCCCCCCCCCCCCCCCGCCCTGTGGGACCCCCCCCAATCCCTTGGAGGAGCTGCAAACCGATGCCGTGGAGGGTCCCGCTTGTCGGTGGCTCCTACATGGGGAGTGCCTCAAAAACCCCCCCCCCCCCCCCCCCCCCCCCCCCCCCCCCCCCCCCCCCCCCCCCCCCCCCCCCCCCCCCCCCCCCCCCCCCCCCCCCCCCCCCTCACACTCCCCCCGACCTCCACCTTTCGCTCTGGCCCTTCCTCGCCTTTTGTGCGATGTCCTGGGGCGGCCTTCCTCCCTTTTTTTGCGATGTCCTGGGGCCGGCCCGGCTGCCGAGGCGGCGCGCGCAAGCGTTTACAATAACATAACTGAATTGACCTCAATCACGAATTGTGGAAAGAACGATCATATTCAAACGGCCGGGAGTATCGGATAGTGTCAGATCATGAGAATTGAACACCAAACTGTATTGAACTATTAGATATTGAGAATATATGATCCACTAGCATACTTTATGTCTATGTCATGTACACATCACTGCATTATGTATACATAGGTACATATTTATTTAATCATGAGCATTCGCAAAGGTAATCGAACTAAGAACCATATTATTCATGATCTACATGCTTAGCTTGAAGCCTCTTATCCTTTTTGGGGCCTGGGCGTGAGTCGGTACCCCACGGCCAAAACCTCAGCAGATCGGGCCTCGGAGGGTATTGATGGTGTAGGTCGTCTCATTGTCGATCTTGGGTCCCATGATGAGCACCTTCCTAAACGGGTGGGAGTACCTTGGCAGATTGGCAGACAATGGGGTTTGGGGTCCGGGGATGTGAAACCCGCGAATCACACCCCCCCTCTCCTCAAAAAGTCTAGCCATTCGCCCTGGGATTTGGAGTCATTCTCGAAAGGGGTCCATGTGGGGTTTGGGCTGCCAGGCGCGTCTTTTGCGCTTTTCCGAGGACTCGCTTGCGAAGCTAGAGGAAGTAGGTCGCCTCATCCTTTAGAGTCTAGGAAGTGTTTTCCAGTGTCTTCCTTGCACACCGTGAGGTTTGACCAGTTTGGCCAGTTTAAGCCATGTCCCGACTGCCTTGGAGGTGTTTGGACTTGTTTTTTCATTGCTTGGAAGTGCTTTGGTAGGAGGGCAGTGCAGCCGAGAGGTGTTTGAAGGCGTTTCACGTTTGGACGTTGGCAAGACCGGAGTATGCGAGCATGCAAACGTGAGAAGTATTGAAACATCTCTGCGACATTGCACCGCAAGATGTATTGCGCAATGGAAACACTCAAACCTTAAATCCTTTCAACACACCCGATGAAAGAAAGCTGAACCTGCAAAAATCCATAATCCCCTAATCCCCTTGCAAGAGTCTCCTACAGCCGTGTGTCTGGAGCCTGATACCAACCCTCTACCAGAGCCAGCGCACTGTAGCGAGGAGAGGAAGTGGCTGAAGTCATAACTCTGTGCCATTACCTAGGCCAGGCTCAATGGAACTGCGGCACATGCTTTCAAGCCACATCTTCTCACTTCCCATAAGGCAACGGCGGCCATGGTTCACTGAAGACACCAAGGCTATTCAGGCACTGCTATGGGGCCTGGATCATTTTTCAGACAGGCTGTAGGCACCGTAAGGCTACTGTGCTGTTGGATGAGGACAGAAGGACAAGACGCATGATACAGCCCACCTACACCGATCAGGAACTCGGACGCCTATTTCTAGTATTCTGGCATTGCACAGAACGAGGTCTTGGTGGAAAGCAATGGTTTCCAAAACACACACACACACACACACACACACACACACACACACACCACGCACAGCCCTCGACATCACAAAGGATCACAGAAATCGATGCCAGAATAGAGCCCCTTTCCTGGCATGACACGCCCAAAGTGACTTCCGTGTCATCGATGTTCTCAAACACGTTCTTCATGGAGCCGTGGCGGATGTACTCAATGCTTTCGAAGCCTCACTGGGGGGTCCACCGGAGCCATTGGGCAAACGGCCCTAAATCCTAAACCTAAGCTCTCGGATCCCCAACTCGCACGTTCCAGTCCTGAAGAACAAGATGCAGCCATGTGGCTGGAGTTCAGCAACCTTGGTAACAGGAAGCTGGAAGAAGCAGAAATGCCAACGGCCAACGATATGCCGGTGGACAAAGATGCCACAACTCAAAGCAGAAAGACCTATGGTCCCTTGCTTTCATGGAGACTCCGATCGTATAAGGCTTCCCAGGCTTTGAATACTACCTCCGAAGGTTTGGGGGGCTCGTTTGGGGGCTCGTCCCAAATTTTACGGTCACTCTGAGGGACAACCTCCAAAGACCTTAACCCCTCTTCCTCGCGCAAACCCTTTTCCCCAAACCTACCCTAAGCCCGAAGTGAACCCCAAACCCCGAACACCCCGAACCCGGCACTTCGAAAACCAAAGCAGCCCGAAAATAATCCCTAAAACCCTAAAACCCTAAAAAACCCTAAAAAACCCTAAAAAACCCTAAAAAACCCTAAAAAACCCTAAAAAACCCTAAAAACCCTAAAAAAAAACCCTAAAACCCCAGAAGACCCTAAACCCCAAAACAAGAGAATCTCCGGGCAGCATCTGCGCGTAGTTTCCCACAAGGAGGGAGTCGCCCCTGTACGGGGAGTCCTGGAGCCCGAGGCTTCGTTCTGACGACTCTGGTTGACGTTTAGGGTTTAGGGTTTAGGGTTTAGGGTTTAGGGTTTAGGGTTTAGGGTTTAGGGTTTAGGGTTTAGGGTTTAGGGTTTAGGGTTTAGGGCTTAGGGGATTAAGAGTTCGGCTACCGTGGACACATGAGTTCAGAAGTCCTGAACATCTCCGTACTCTTCGTAGCTGAGGTTGGACATCTTGATGTCGAAGGCAATGCCTCGGACATTATGGGATACAGCACCCGTCGCCTCATCTACCCCCCCCCCCCCAAACCCCTAATTAACCCTAAACTTCCAGCCACATATGGGGCAGTGGAGGCCGGGGGGGAGGATAGGGTCCCATTAAGGACCCTTAAGTCTGCACCAGGGGCCACGTTCACAAGATTCAGTGGATGCATCAGGAGCCTCACACTGTCCATTTGCAGCGCACATCCCTGGAGCGGCGCCAGTGTTCCCAAGTGGTGTTGAGGTTTGAGGGAACGAGAAGCTGTGCGCAGCTGCTGATTAAGCTGACCGTCCGCGTCAGGCATACACAACGCTCGGGGGGTTGTAGTGAATGGGTTCAGAGCTGCGCGGGGACAAAGCGTCAGTTCTGCATCCTACATGTCCCTGGCCAGGTCCGAAACCGCCATTGTTAAGACACACAAACACACATGTCAAATGCGGGGCCTGCGTAAATCTGCATAGCTGCACAACTTCAAACAAAGGTGCTTTCGATCTCGAAGGATGGGTCCTCCAACTGGGTCAGCAGGTACTGTGTCCACGGGTGACCCACAGTGTAGATGGCGTTGCCGTTGATGTGGAAGAGCCTCTGAAGGTCTTGCGGTTGCGGCAGAGTATCGGACAACCGGTAAAGAACACGTCTTGGATTCTGCATGAGGCCAAACAACCTTAAAGCCCTGACTTCTCCAGAAACACCCTAAATCCCCTTGCACTCATGGAGTCACTGCAGCCACCGGACAGCTCGAGCGGCAGCTTTTGCAGATAGTTATCCCAGGTGTCACCTCCAGAAACATCCAGTTATGAGGATGGCGAGTTCGGGTTTGAAGGAACAAAGGCCCTCCTGGGAACGAGCGAAAGAAGCGCATCCCACGTTTGAACCCAAGTCCTGAAGGCTTAAAATGCCATGTATCTGTTTTCTGAAAATACCCGCTTGTGCGGGTGTATGTGAACCTTGAGCACCGTGCTCCAAAGCTATCATAAAAAAGGGAAGGGACCCCGAAAGCCTAGTGCTCGTGCAACGAAACAGACCACATCGTCAGAGATGAGACAAACCTCTGGGGTTGTGAGTTTGGCAGCAGTGATGCGGCGGCAGAGTTATAATGATGTGTAGAATTGTGCGCTGCCCCCATCTCGATGACGAAGCCTCTGTATCGACTTCCACGAATAGCGGCAGGCGGATAGTAGAGGGCCTCAGCCCAGGAAGGGCCCCCTGGGGTGTCGCTGAGTCTTCGGGTTTGGGTGCCACGCCCTACCTCCTGAAGCCACCCTAAACTCCAAGGACGACACTGCAAGCCTCCGAGGCTTCCGCGGATACTTGCACTCTGATTTAGGTCCCTTAGGTCCCCACTTCCGCGACAAACTGTTGAAGCCACTCCGCGCGGACGGGCACCTGCCAACAAGTCTAGGTTTAGGGCGTTCGGGGTTTAGGGATGTTCAGGGTGGAGGGGGGTTTAAGGTTGAGGGTTCTTGGAGAACCTCTAGGGATCCTTTGCGGAACTGGGGGAACGTTAACAACCAGGAAGTCCCGCCACTGAAGCTCTCAATCCCAGACAATCCCATGCACCGCATCAAACTCCATGAAGTAGAAGTGGCTGTACTCCCCGAAGGCTTTGTCCTGGCTGTGCTGGAGAGTCTAAGTCTAAGCTTGGGGGGGGGGGGGGGGGGGGGGTCGGGAAGCGAAAACCCACTTTTTTAGTCGACCCCCGAACATGGGGTGGGTCCAGAGAAGAGTCCAAAGCGTCCAGCTCAATCAGCTGGGGGTGAAGGGTGGCCCCCCCCCCCCCCCCGAATTGGAGGATAAACCCAATTTTGGGACACAACCAAAAAAATCGGCTCTGGAAGTTGTAAGCAGCGCAGGCGGACGACAAAGCTGCGCAGTACGGACCTGAACACCTTGGCTCTCAGGGGCTTTGGGGCGAAGAGGATTCAGGGTCAGTTTGGGGGTGCAAGTCTTTGGGGATGTTCAAGGGCCCAGGATCAGCAGCTGCTAAAGAAAGACCCACAACCACGTTGAGGTGCTCCAGGCCTTTTGCTTCGTACCACCTTACAGAGCACTCTCCGCGTGGCGGAGCGCATATCCCATGAAACCCTACACGTCTACACATCTTCCGCCGCAAATTTTCTGACTCTCCCACTTCGGAAGCCCCTGAACCCCTAAACATCCCTAAACCAAGTACGGGCCTTGTTGGGGCCAGCAACCCAACCCTTGTGGACGCTGTAGCCACGGGAGTCCTTGGCTCATGCGTTGTAGCTCATTTCGGGTTTAGGATGTTGCTTTAGCTTCATGGTTTAGGGTTATCCACATGGAAGCGCGTCGGTGACCATGAAGCGTTCACCCTGTTCGCTTGCGTGATCGATCTTGCGGTTCTTCTGCGATTGTGCCATTTGCAGTAAAGCGGCGTAGATATCCTCCCAGGCAGTGAGGTTAGCCTCTCATGCACAGACAGGTCACCCAAATCCCAATGCAAAGACTGCTTTGGGGCGGATTGAAGGAACCTCCCGAACAAGGTGGAAGACTGACGGTTTGCAGGCCTTTTACTTGTTTGATCTATTGCGTGCAATTTTAGTTTACCAGGCCCAACTCAACGGAAAGCTGAGAGAAAACGATTTGTGTTCAACATACGCGTGCCGGCAATTGAACCTTGTCCCGCATGTTCGAAGCCTAATGTGTTAGCGGGCTGAACCCTAAACCCGAAACTTCCTGTTTGGGTCCCCCGTCTTGAGGGGAGCGTTCCTGGGCTGCTGAGGCTCCTTTCTTGTGAGGAGAACCCTGGCCGGAGGTAGGGCATGCCTCATTGGGCAGGATGCCGAAAAAGAAGTCTCGAAAGGGTGTTTTTGTTCTGGCTATATAATGTTGACATCCTCTGGTGCTACTATGTATGGTAGGCAATGGGCGTTTCCCCGTTTGAAGCAATGCTTAGCCGCGAAAAACCAACATTTGTACATAGATAGATTTGTTTGCATGTATGTGTATATATGGTCTCGGGCTCCGGGGCCCTACCCCCCCCTCCCCCCCATGGTATCCCTCCCCCCCCCCCCCCCAATGGTATGCCCCCCTCCCCCTCCACCTAAACCGGACCTTAAACCCAAACCCGAACTCCCCCCAACGGGAGGGGGGGGGGGGGGGGGTGAGCGTGGCAGCCCTCGACCATATATCCATATGTGTGTTTGTGTGTTTATACATACATACATACATACATACATACATACATACATACATACATACATACATACATACATACATACATACATACATACAGATATATGTATACATGTGTAAAACTCGAAACCAACACCAAGCCCAACAGACCCAACGCCTCGTGAATGAACATGCTTCGGAAGCACGTGGACCAACTGTACGTGCCATTCCTCGCATGCAGAAAATGTCCGTTTGGTTCGGTTGGGGGCTAGGCGTTTCTTGGAGCGCTAGGGCTTAGAGCTTTGGGCGGTCTTGGGTCGCTAGCGAAGGACATGCTGCTTGTTTGCGCGCCCTGCCAAGGCTCTAGCACCTTGACCATGGCTCGGTCCAAAGACGATCCAAGGGAGCTGCACACGCACACTAGGCATCCTATCAACACAGGGCCGGCCCCAATTCCTGCAAACTGGTCAGATTCCAAAAGAATTTTCTGAACCTCCAGGTTTATGGAGCCAAGCACTCCCATCCTATCGACCGAGTCTCTCAAACATGGCTTTGACCTCATTGGCAGCAATCTCTGCGAGTGGAAAATCCTGACAAAACAGGGTCGCATCGGCATGATAACTGCAGGGCTGCAATTAATCCCCTCCCACAAATATCCGCTGAGGCCTTGGGTAGGTGTCTCGACAGGTGTGCGGGAGCGACCGTGCATCAGGACCAGGGCGCATTTTGGGCTCGGCCAAACCCCCCCCCACCATGTCCCCCCCACCCACCCCACCCAACCCCTGCACCACCCCCCCGCCGTGAAGGTTGTGAGTTGTTGAGAAGCAGGCGTACGTCGTGGAAGCAGTAGAAGACTCGATGACGACCACTATCGTTGAAGCCTGACCCTAGTGTTCGCTGCAAGGGTTCTTTGGCGGGCCACGGCTAAACAAAACTTTGCGAAAACAGGGCTAGAATCCCGAAGGAAGTGCCGTTTCAAGCCTGCTGGTCACCACTGAAAAGCCAAGGCCCAAACAGTCCACTTCGACAGGTCAATGAACCTCGACGTGACTGACGTGACTCGAGAGACCGGAGAAGCTGAAAAGGACGGCGCACGTCGAGGTTACAAGGTCCGGAGTCAATCGGGCCCGGGATCCGAACAGGTTGGCCTGGAGCCGGCTTTGGAAAAGCGCCGGTGCACCTGCATGTCGTTCGTTAGTCAAGGGCGACCGCGCAAGCACATTGCTGCTGAGTTGGAGCCCGGTCTCGTAGTACAGCAGGAGGCAGAGCGAGAGGTCGCTGCGCGACCCTTCCTCGCCCCTCGACTGCCAGGACTCTCTGCTTTCTTAGGAGTAACCTCAGACAAGGCCCGCCACGAGCTCGCAGAGCAAAAGGAGCCTCACCTTGAGCGACGAAGTCGGAGGAGGAGGCCTTTTTGGGGAATCTCAGGGGCAGCGGACTGCTGCGCTGCGATTTTGGCGTCGAAACCGCGTCCAGCGTCGCCCCTCCGGTGGAAAGGATTCCTTCTAGGGGAGCTGAGGGCTGAAGTTGCCAAGTTCACTGCAGCTGTAGGGCTCCCAAGACAAGAAAAGAAGGAGGTACCAGCCGAACTCCTTGGGTTCGGGCCCAGTAGTGCTGAGTTGGCCCACCTCGCTGCCTTGGACGTGATGGCGGAACAATGGAAACGGGGAATGAACTTGGATGCATTTGGATGCAAGGTGTGCTTGACTGTGGATCGACGTCAGGCAGGCAATGGCGCACGAGAGCAGCTTCGGGTTTTTGCAGATGGCCCAACAAGCGGGGCTCGACATCCGCGCTGTGCAGGGGTTTCCTTTGGGTCCAGCCTATGCAGAGGCTGGCCGGGGAACCAGGTCGGGGCTCAAAGGTGCTTTGCATGCAAAGGCCCTGCTGGTTCGACAGGGAGCCGGAGAAGGGATCTGGGCGGATGGAGTTCGGGCGAATTCAGAAGCCCTCCAGAGCGATTTCGCATCTGCTGCTGCCTCTGTGAGAGGCCGGACGTTCTCGCCCCAACGCCATACGGAGTTGTGATTCCGCCGGCGAAGGTGTACGTCAAGGGCAGGAGGAGGCCGGACGTTCCTACACTGGGAACCGCCGCGGCTACAAGGTGCTGATACCCTCGAACACTACGCAAGGGGGCAACTGTGAAGGTTGTGAGTTGCTGAGAATCAGTCGTAGTTAGCTAGCTGTCTTGTGAACGTGTAGTTTGTAGGAAGTGTAGTTGTGTTCGTTTTTGGCTCAAGCGTAAGCTAGCCGTTTCACCTCTAAGCGTGCGACCTTGTGTGCAGAGAAAAGGCAACGACCTTGCTGCAACGCTGTGTCGAGACCGTACTCTGAGTACTCAAAGGCGCCGCACCCCCCCCCCCCCCCCCCCCGGCAATTGACACGGCTTGGGCAGCACATCGGCTCGAGAGGATCTGCGGAATCGGTGCGCCTCGTCTTCACATGCGGCTGCGCAGCGGGCCGAGGCGGGTCGCATAGGGTTAAATTACCCCCCTATACTCCCAAGACTAAATACTCCCCAACACGAAAACGGCACAAAAGTGGGAGCACTCATTCTTCGGGCACAGAAAAGGGGATTACAGTACACTTGTTTGTGCATCGATGGGCTGCCACAGTGTGAGCATGGCCCTATGGCCCTGGATTCTTTCTCCGAAGTGTTGACATATGGGTCTTTACGTGACCAAACCCTGCTTCTTGCCTGTTTTAACTTTTGCAGCCTGCACATCAAAGCGCACACCTGGTTATCCACACTAAGGATCACTAAGGTTGATTGTACGTGGTCAGCAAGAAGAACAAGAAAAGCAAGAATGCGAAGAAATAGCCCGAAACATGTGAAGCAGTTAGGGTTGAGAAAGCGGAGAACTCCAACGGCGTGACCTTCCGGAACCACCGACTGATATGCTCAAGCGCGCCGGCCTGAAAGGTCTTGCTGTACACCAAATGGAGGTCCACGAAGGCATCCGTGGGGGCCGTGGTGCAGGGCGGCGCCTCGAGGCAGAGTCCGAAGAAGGCTGTCCTCTAAGCCCGTAGGATCTGAGATGCAGCCGCTGTAGAATGTGGGCCACTCTACACCGAGCTTGCAGGGCTGCGAGAGTCAAAACTTCGTGCCTTAAGGCGCAACGCTGGGATGCTTTGGGACGCTCCCCTGAACCTCCTTGATGGCACTGGCGCTGCCCTTCACGCCCCCCTAAGTCGAAATCCCTCAACCAAGCCACAAGCGACTCGCTTCTCAAGGCCCAGTTTGGCGCAAGGCCCCAGTTTTGGCCTGTGTCCAGTAGCCGAAGACTTCCTGGATGGCCTGAACCTCCATGCCAAGGGCAAGGAGTGTTAGGGCTAAGGGCTTATGTAAGGTTTGGGGTTTCGGGTTTAGGGTTTAGGGTTTAAGTCTACAAGTTGACGTGCAAGTTCATTTGGCAAACCTGCGAGTGCGCAGGACACCCCTCACAGCTTGACAGTTTGCTGCTTTTTCCAGTTGACCACTGGTTCCCCTAGCCCCACTGCCGCGACATACCCCCAACACCGCCCCACAAAACCACAAGAACAATACAGTCCCCATACAGCTGAAGTTAGGGCTTGGGGCTTAGCTTTTAAGGGCTCTCACGCCCACCACCCCACCCCTCAACCCCATTTTGCAGATCTGCGGCCCATCAAACATGGCTCCCCGCAACTCCAATGGTCCAGGCCTCCGCCTCCGTTGCGAAGGGGCGCACAATCGCGAGGTCGTTCCCATATGCGAGGCTGAAGACAGCCCACAGGGACCAAGGCCTTTCACAGGTTTTGCGATGCCTGGCTTTGCAGAGCCACAATCTGACACCGTGCTAAGTTGCGCTCGCATCCTACGCAGTCTCCAGAGGTCTCTCCGATTCTGGAAGGGTCTTCGATCCCAGAAAAGGCGCCCAAGGCTCTGAAATTTTGAGAGATGCCCACCTGAGCACCCTCATGGTCACCTTGCGCTCGGCCTCATTGGCAGTAAGGAAGGACTTCGGAGCGTGGGATGTTTTGAAGTGCGAGTTCATCAGCGTCTGAGAGCTATCGAGGTCCTGTAACCTTCCACAACCCCCAGGCCTCGGCCTTACGCCACCTCAATAAGTCCGTAAGGATCAAAGAACAAGAGATCGAGGTCCCAGAGCTATCCGGATCAAGGGACTGTAGCAAGTCGGATGCCACACTGCCCAATCTTGAGCCCAGGATGTGGAGACTTGAGCACTGCACAACCTGATACAGCCCTGTGCGGCTTGGACTGAATTAGATTCGGGGCGGACCACCCTGCAAAATCATCTTGTCATACCTACACGACGCTATTCAAGAAAAGTAGGAAGTAAGTGAGCTATTCAAGAAAAGTAGGAAGTAAGCGAGTAAATGAGCAGACGAAATGAACGCTGTGAGCACCCCACAAAGCCTGTTACAGCATGACAAGCGGCTTTTCCGCGTGAAATCCTGTGTCAGCTGCAGTGCTTTGCTCGATTGGTTGGCAAAAACCCCTGCATTGCTTGCTTAGCGCAGGAGTTAGGAACGCTATTAATCGGGACGCCAGAGCACTTTGCTCCTGTCGTCTGTAGCCGCAGCTGTGAGATTACTTGGCCGGAATCACTAAGGATCTGCCAAGGGCTCGACGGCATAAAAAATCCGCTGTGCCTGATTGTCACATTGCGACCGGCAGTATGAAGAAACTATGGCTGGCACGTGCAAACAACGTGAAGCCGTCTGTCAAGATCCGGCGGGAAGCTCAGAAAACGAAGTCCAAGCCCGCCAAAAGCACTCCTTAACCAGGCCACCTGCAAGCAAAACGTCTGCTCTGCTTCGGGCTTCCTGGGTTTGGGCCTGAACCGTTTCAGGGTTGGGAAGCTTCGCACTGAAGCGCCAGGCTGTGAAAGTGCCTACTTTGAGAATGACCTGCAATCTCCTAAGCAGCTCTCCTGAGTTGGAAGCGCTCCTGAAATGCCTAGTTTTTGCACGGGGTGTTTTTTGAGCACATTTCAGTGGAGGTGCTGTTCGAGACGCTTGATTGCACAGCACGCTCCTGAAAGCCCCAAACCAAGAACCCGAGCCCTGAACCCGGAAACCTGGAACCCTAAGAGCAGAAAACGATTCAGATTGCTTTAGACCATTCCTTCAAAACACAATACCCCCGCCTCCCCCCTCCCAGCCCACAGGCCTAGGACCTACATCACCATCTGCGTCAACTGGGAGGCGGGCTGGGGGACTCTGAGGTTTCGTACTGGTGCACAGA